TATGTATGTATGTATGTATGTATGTATGTATGTATGTATGTATGTATGAATGTATGATATATGTATGTGTGAATCTGTAAGTGTCTATGAAGTATGAATGTATGTATGTATGTGATTGTGTATGTCTGTATTATTGTGTAAAAATCACTTCAATCAGTTCCTTAATTTTTTTAGGCTTATCACAGATATTGTACTTGTAGCAGATGCAAAGTATGTATGTATGTATATATGTATGTATGTATGTATGTATGTATGTATGTAAAATTGCAATGGGAGACCAGGTCTTCAGTGGTCTCTTCAGTGGTCTTGTCTTTGGGAGTCCCAAATCTAAAAAAAAACTGCACATCAGTGGAAAGGTCACTGGTATTTCCAGATTGTCAAAATTATTTCGACGATTTTTCGGTCGTACTCCCTACTGAAAGACCATAACCATAAAGATCTGAAAAGATATCTATGGTCCTTCTAAATTTCAGCTTTTAGTATTGGCAGCGTCCTATTTCAATACCGCTTAAATTTGCAAATTAAACATTAAGGTCTCGTCTAAGTAAAAGCAATGCGATCAAAAATAATTTTGCGTCAGGAAATAGCAGAGGGATAAGTCGAGTTAGGGTCTGTGGACCCACGATAAGCCCCCAAATTCGGACCTGACTGTTTTAAAGTGAAAACCATGCATTATCTCTCGCAGATTTCTTCATCGAGGGGGCATTGTCCTTTCGTTGGGAATTTAGCTTCACACATATTTGCCTAACAATGGAAAAGCCACTGATATTTCCAGCCTTGCCAAGCTCAATCTGATGCTTTTTCGTTTGTTCTTCTCACTCGTTAAAATCTGGAAAGAAGGCTGTGATCCTTCCAAATCTCAGCTTTTACCGTTTACAGCGTTCGATTTCAACGCCGCTTGAATTTGGAAACGGAGTTGAGAATTGTGGGCTCATTTTACATGAGCCGCCTTTTATGCTTAACGAAGTAAAAAACAAGGTTCTGCAAAAGCAATCTTTCTACCTAACTGTCATGCCATGAAACATGTCATCCTCATAATCAGGAAATCGGAAGTTATTAGAACAAGCTTCCTGCGATGATGTTTTGAGATGTGTTCATCTATTCGAGTTTTTCCGGAGTCGTAGCTATGCCTGTACGGCTTGGACGCTATCATGTGGGGGGAGGGGGTGGGGGCTAGGCCAGTATAAATCAATATTATTATCTTCCCTGATGAGTCTGTTACGATTTAACGATTTTAGAGGACGGGAGGACCAGCAGAGCTTGAACAACTTTGGGAGATTCCTGGATTCCATCCCAGCAATTGGTAGCGCGCTAATTGGCACTACGTAACCTCAGCCTTGGCCAATAAGGTACCTCTGTAGATTTCTGGGAAGACCGAACAACACAGCTTCTGAAGAATAGGTTAATGCGAAAAATGAAGTTCGGTGAGCTTTAGACAGCTGTGGCCAGTCATTTCCATACAGAATGCATTAGTTCATTACCCAACACGCCGTATTTATACTGGATCTTCGAGTCAAACGGATTCTTGAACTCATTTCCTATAACTGCAAAAGACGGAGACATCGCCAACCGCCCAACACCAGCTTCGTAATCAACTATAACAATGTACAATCTTAACTTGATGTTCTTGTTAGCTGCTATTATTTCGCAGCAGTATGCGATGCGGAAACCTCACAAAATGGCGAGTTGTGTTCAGCAAAATTTCGGTCTCAGATGGGCTCGAACCCCCACCACTTGTGCTCTCTTTTTTTATGGCTGATAGGCTATATAAGCCCCCTGCCCCCTCTCCTTACTGGCGTATACGCCACTGAGTGGGTTAGGGCAAGCGTAGTGTAGGGATAAAGGGCACAGCGCGCTGAAAGCCCAAATACGGGTTCTAGACTCGTCCGAGGGCTTAAAGCACAGTTCACGATAAAAATTGTTTCTGAGATTTTCCTATAGGATGAATTCGAGTTCCCCTCGTCTACCATATCTGGTGCTGTTAGGTCGGGAAACGGCCAAGTTAAGGAGTTATAAAGGCTCTAAGATTGTACTGTGTTTATCTTCGGACGAGATTCACCGGCACTGTAGAGGCTGCCCCATAACAAGAGAACCAATGTAGTAGGTTCAAACAACTTGTCATGACCCATAGCGACAGAGGAAAGCTGTTCTGTACAGTTCTAGCTTGATGTAGCCAGCTTGCGCAGTTACAACGAGTGAAAACTCGTCCGGATACCCCTTCCATTTTATTTCTGTCATGGTAACCTCGTCCAACCTCTATTTTTGTTGCCTTTGAGGAGCCTTATTTTTCACAAGATCAGCGATTTCCTCATTACCGATGAACTATTCTCAACCTATTCTTCCGTATTTGAATAAAAATGGTCACCTCTAAATTATCGTGAACTGTGCCGTTAGGCCCACAGCTTTTATCTTTGTGGGACAACATATAGTATTTCATCCAAGTTTCTGGATATAGTGGAAGACACCTAAAAGATTTTATCGTTTCAAATTCCGCTCTCTGTCAATCACCTTTATCTCCCGTGTTTTGGCTGCTCACTGATTTAGTAGGGTGGGCGTCAGAACCGTCTCCATTCGTCCCTGCATTTGCCCCATCCAAAGTGTATCCTTTGTGGACTGGTGAGCTTCTGAAAAGCAGTTTATTACGGTAACCGGCTGCTTACTAAACAAAGATCAACTATATCTTGACGAGAAACCGTTGCACTATTTTCAACTGTTATCTTATCTTATAAGTAGCGAGAGTGAAAGCTTGCAGTAAATTAAATCTGGAATATGAGGGGGTCAGTTATCAAGTGGTTATTTAGTAATCAGTAAAGCTGTAGGTGTCATGAACCCAGAAACGATCAAATATATAATGGAGCGGTCGTCACCTACATCGATTACTTGCCACGCCCCTTTTCGCTCACTTTACGCTGCAATAACGCCATACCTTGGTTGATAAGTGGTGGTACACTATTTTGTCGTGGTCGGTACTGTTCTACAGTGATTCCTCCAGCAGCGTGTCATAGTATTGAAAGATGTATGAATTAGCTTTACGGTCTCAAGAAGAGTTCCTACACCATAATATAACCCTCCACTCCTAGCAATTTCGCCTGAATTTCAGTCAGCCTACAAGCTGGCCCTGTCGAAAAAATTTTAGGCAAAAATTACATCATACCAACCACCTTTTTTGCTTCTCTTTCTTTCGTTCTCTTTCAGTTTCTCATTGCGTAGTGCCTTTTCCAACAGCCGACGCAATTCTTTCTGACGTGTCTCTCTGTAGCAGCCGATAATCAGTAACAGTAACCATATCTGGCCCATTGCCAAGGCTGCCGTCACCGTTACCAGCACCACTGTGCCGAAGTCAATCGCACCTTAAAAGGAGTATGACTATATAATGGAAGGACTGAACTGCATAGCAAGTACTTAGGTTCTGCGAGTGTATAGAGTGATAACGGAAACATAATTAATAAACTCTGTTTAACAATACTTTATACTGTGCAACTATTACTTGTTAAGTGCACACTTAACGGTTATTCTGAAGAAACTAGTTCTGGACGAGTAATGCAAGTTATTTCCTAGAATAGTGCTAAAGTCGAGAAGAAAACGCGAAAATCGGCGTCTTCAGAGAAATATAAGGCTCTAAAAAAGAAGTGAAATTAGGGGTTGGACGATAATGTGACGACAATAGTTGCAAGGAAGCGGCACTTGGACGAGATGTCCAATTGTGTGTTCCACTAGCTGGCATAGCTGGCTACAGTAAGCTGCCTGTGTGTAATCTGTGCGTCCCAGTGAGAATAGTGCAACCTCTACGGCCTCTACAACGCCGTCGAAACATATCCGCCCGTGTGTAGGTCGGTTGAGCTGGATTCGAGGTCTTATTACGCCCTATCTAGGCCGTTTTTGGAAACGAAAGAGTCCCATGTGCTATCCTGTTTGGTCGCAGTTTTGTTCCAGGAAGGAACTTCGGAAACCATTAACACCGTGAACTGTGCCTGTGAAACTGTGAAATGAGATTCTACATCCGTAAATGAAGCGAAAAAGCTCACTTTTGTGTTCAAGGTAGTCGACGTTCAATCCACGTGCTATAGCTCCTCCAATATAACGAGGATTGTTCAGGATAAAGTAGGTCAATATACATGTCATTACGATAAGTATCACCACTGTAGTACACTTGAGCACGATTTTTGGCACGATCCATGACGAAAGCTCCCGAGTAATGCCAAACCAACAGGCAAGTATAGCAAACAAGTGAGATGCATACAGAACAGCAATTGAATAACAGGCAGATGTCGCTAGTGGGGTGTACCTGAAGTTACCAAGTGATAAAGAGTTATAGAGCTGCGCTGATCAGTGATAACTGGAATTAAAATATATGGAATCCATCAGAATGTGCTCTTTTCACTGCTTAAAAATTACTCGAGTCACTATCAGCCATTTTTTTTTACAATTTTTCTTGAAATGAAGCTCCATGGAAGGAGGAGGACACCATCCGTGAGTGGGATTCTGAGGAAAAAGCTAGCATTCTGCAAGTGGACACACCACCTACCATGTAAAGATATAGTGTCCTCCCATTCACCACTTTCTTGTCGATATAACTATACCTTCTTTCCGCTCCTTTTCTATCTAATTAATTCAATCCTTCGGAGTGGCCGCCGCGTTATTCTGCCCTCGATTTCCTCTAGCGCTCAAATTTAGTTATAAACATGTGATTACTTCTGGTCGGATCGACCCACTAGCATTGACACGTTCACTGGGATGAACCATAGAGAGAAGTTTTGGTCTCGAATGCATAAACTCTTATCTCGTTTTCACGTCTGTTGTTTTAGAAAGGGCTACGCGGCCGCAGCAGGAGACTTAGATTGGAGCGCGTTACCTTCAGCAACCGTGAGAAATCAGCAAATCTCACATCCTTCTTTGCATGCAGCCGACTAAAACGTTCCCGAAAACAACACTGGTAGAAGGAAGACGAAAGAAAAAGGAATTAAACAGTACTAGAACTTTCCTTTCTGAAGACTACCACAAAATTTGAAAAATTTCATATTTCAGGCAAAGTGGTGGCTGGTCTGGAAGGCCGCCACTCTTGCTTCTTAACAAATAGCGGAATCTTCCTGAACAGGGTTTTTTTTCGAGAGCAGACGGGTCTCTACGAAAAAAAAAAGCAACGAAGTTTTGATGAACCAAGGCAGAAAAGCCGGAAAAGATCACTTGGAAGTTTTTTTGCCATAGAAAAGCAGTGAAAGACATTTAGAGGATAGGAATTGAAAGAAAGCGGACTGAAATGAAAGAAATGAGAATAAGAGAAAGGATTATCTTTCTGGATCAGAGCGAAAATGAGCAGAAAAAAATGGAGATGGAAGAGGAGGAAGGGCTGTTGGGCTTTTCTCCTGCTCCCTTCATCTCTGCCTGTTCCTATCTCACTATAGCTCTCCATCTTCCTCAGCGAATGAGATATGAATAGGTATTGGCCTTCTTGAATAAATTGTTCCACAGTCTGGGTGTATAAACGTTTGAAAGTGGGAGGTGATGAACTGTGGTCTTCAAAATCGAGAAGGGTGAGAAAAAATGGATATTTTCTAACTTTTGTAATTCTGTCATTAACATTATCGTTCATCATTATCACTACATATTAACATCTATCATTGATCGCTATCATTATTTATCAAGCGCCATAATCTTAAAAATCAATGCTGGTAATCAATCAATTTTTAATGGCAGACTAAAAACTTGACATTATTGAAAAGTAAAAGTAACCTACCCGAAGTGCTGCAGAAGTTGAACACATTTAACGAATGCTGTAGTAAGAGAGCAGAAGTCGACAATGCCTATGGCTACACCAACGGCTTTCGTACGCTTGCCGAGGCAGAACTCAAGATGTCTGAGGTCAAGGTCCGATACTGCCAGTCTCATCTCAAGTTCTCCATATCTAAGTAGTTATTTAAAAGTAAATAAAAATTAAGCATTAAGCGTCGGTTGATGACACCAAATCGAGCAAGTAAAGCACAAAACTCTGCATCTGGAGACCAACGGATGGCTGGTGCTCTCACTTTCAAAGTAGCAAGGTATGTGACGTTACGCGGGATTTGCGTTAAGCACTCTCCAGCTGCGATCATTTATGGTAACGATTGATACGGTAAGATAAGACAAGATAAGTAATGATATGATATGATACGAATGTGATGTGTACTGTGTGGTGAAATAGCTCGAAACGAAAGAATTTATACCTCAAAGAGAACGGTAGTAATAGGAGCCCTGACTTTGTTCAGTAATCTTACCAGTGCTTTGGGCTACTACTACACAACTTGTACTGTACTATTGCAACTATTAATAACTATTACTATTAAACTAACTAAACAGCCCATGGCACCATGAAACTTTAGACTGGGATCCCGTAAATGATACATCCCGAACAGCTGAGCACGAGCATCGAAACCGACAAAAAACGCCTCTTCAATTCTCAAAAACAAATTCAAATGGTTAAAGTTTACTTATAGAACCAAAGCAGATGGTATTCGTTACATTGAGCTTTTCAAAATCACAGGTAAAGGATGATGACGGGAATTTTGACTCTGTCAGGGAGCAAAATTAAATAAAACCTCAAAAAAAGTTTGCCAAGGAGAAATTTCATGAAACTTGTAGGTGGCAACCACGTCTTCACATTATTATTTACTATTATTTTTGAAATTTGTTTATTATTTACGCATTAAATACGTTACTACGATTGTGAATGAAAGTCGAATGAGTGGACGCATCCCTCAGACGGGATGGATTAATGCCCCAGGACTTTGTCCTTTATCCTTGATTTATGACCCGTAATCCTTATTGTGAAGGTCGCGGGGTCCCCATTTGTTGGAATTTGAGAAACCATCCTGGGAAGAGAGGATTAAGCATTGCTGCCAATAACTTTTTCCAAATCACCCATTTGGGTGCCTTTCCCAATGTCAAGTTTTTTCTTCCTCCGTGACTCCTACACGAAATTTGATACTGGCAAACTTCCTCTGAACGTGAAACTGAAACTCGCACTGGATGAACATGAAAGCAACCTTTCCCAAAGCCTACATCGCTCTTCAAAGTTGTTCTGGGGTTTACTTTGAAGTAGAGAGGCTCCTGTGCGTGTACAAATCTCGTCCTGCTTCGAAAGGGATCATGTTTACAGTATAACTCTGAGGCTAAAAATTAATTTTGGGCGAGTTTGAAAGGTTTTTGTTAGAAAGCATTCGGGAAGAAAACGTGAACATGCGCATGAATGGACAACCAAAGGAGAGCACGGCCACCTTATGTGAATTCAATTTGCAGAGCTCTGCATTCCCAACGCAGTTTATCAAGTTTACGTTGTTGAAATATGCAATATGTCGACCGAAAACATGGCCACAGATGAAAAACCATTTCCTCGTAGAACTCCTTTCCCATACAACATCCTTTTTCCAAGTAAATAATGTGTTGTTTGCAGTAAAGCAGCGCTAATACAATTGCTTTGGCATGTGTGGGGCCCTGTTTTGCTCATCTTGGGTCTTGCAAAAAGCTACTATTTATCGTTTTCGTTGGAAAACAATCATTCTCCTACTAGTCGATTTACCAGTTCTTGCTCGTGTTTATTTACTTCACTACTCCCAAACAATTGTTTCTATCAATGAAGCTGTGGCCTTTTAACTCAAATTGCATACTATGGGCCTTCTCTATACGAATGCGGCATGCTGGAACGACATTCGGAGAATAAAGCTAGAACTTTCGGTATTCTCAAGCTGGTCTCCTTGGTCTAAACAAGAAGTTCTGTAATTTATAAAGTTGTATATTGATCTTATAGTGGTTTTGCAGTCCTACGGTCTGTTGTGCTAAGGTAGCAATGCTGTAATTGCTAGGAACCAGCTTGATCTTCCGGCTCACTCTGAGCTCTCCTCTTTTTTTCTGTTTGAGTCTGCCGCCAGCATCCCTTCTAAATTTCGACGATCTAGTTCAAGAGAACAGAATTTCGGTCCATCTGACACACTTCGTGTATATCCCGCTTGTCATGAGCGAAGTCATGCTCAGCCCTTCCTAGTTTAATCATATATTCGACCATGGACGGACAAGATGGTGGTGCTGGATAGCCCTCCTACTCGAGCCCTACATTTTGGTTGACAATCGTCCCGAAAAGGAAAGAAAACTAGAGAAGGGTCTGAGATATTTGTCAACTATGTCTCTGTTAGGGCGGAGGTGGTGTAGTGGCAAGTGGCGCACTATGTCACACTCATTGTTAGGGGTTCGAATCCCGGATCGGTGAGCGCCTAGGCTAATCAGGCCTCCTATCCCTCCGGGGTCGGTGAATTGGTGCCAGACTCGTCTGGGAGGATGAAAACACTGACTTGTACGTCGGCTGGCCACTGCAAGTCATTGTATAGGCCACATACGCACTAATTACGCCACTACGATTCTGAATGGAAATCGGGTGCGGGGCGCATCCCTCAGACGGCATTGATTAACGCCAAAAACTTTATCCTTTATCCTTCATGACTCTGTTGCCATTTAGCCTTCATCATTTCAATATTGCTACACTATGATATAACTATACTTACTTGCATAATGTGAGGTAACTACTGCTTTAGTTGTTCCCTGGTCTACTTCACGATAGCAGCTTTTGTCCTCAATGATGGTCTTCACTGAACAGAGCTCGAAGAAGATTTCCTCTGGGGCTCCCCAACCTATTCGAGCTAAGACTATTTTGAATTTTAAATTTTAAGTGTTTACAGTCGCCTCAATTTTTAATAGGATCAACTTGCTCTTTTTGTCATGGTAATTTTATTGGCCTGTTGTTTAGCCCTTCAGTGACTTTAACGACCGTGTTTGGATAACTTGTCTGTGATTTCAATAAAAACAACCTTTTACGATAAACCAGTGGTGCACTTTTTTTAATCATGTTTATAGTGAGCTATTGAACTTCAAGACGGAATAGATTAAAAAACATTCTTAAGGAGTAGAGTACTGTATGAATAGCACAGGAAAATATTGTATATGTACTTACAGTTTCTTATCAAAGAAAACTAAGATTTCTGAAAATCCAGAAAACGTTATAGATAAAACTTTGCAAACTCGTACACTCCTGAAAAATTAGAAACACTATGTTCTTCTCGATGGCAGTCCGGCAGTAGTCGACAATTAGTAGCGAAGCTCAATGGGTGGTCGTTGAGGGTACTGGTTAGAAGCTGCTCTGGAGAACATAGATTTTATAACCCCGTCTTTCATTAACAAAATAGTACGTTCTCTAAAAGAAAAGGTAAATTTATTTGTTCGGCACTTTCTGTAAACAAGAAGGCGCAGATCCCTCAAATTTCTTGCGCTAGTAAAAGGAAGGGATGGAGGTGGTGTAGTGGCAAGTGGCGCACAGTCACGCAAGCATGGCCACAGGCTCGAATCTCGGATCGATCTCCGCCTACTCCAACAATCCCTCATGGTCGCTTAATCGGTACTAGGCTTGACTGGAAGGATAAAAATCACTGACTTGTACATAGGAAGGACATGGCAAAACATCGTATAGGCCACACACGCATTAGACATACCATAACGATTCTGAATGGAAGTTGAATGTGGGGCGCATCCCTCAGAAGTGCTTAATTAACGCCCAAGGACTTTGTCCTTTCTTTCTATGTATTGGACTGGATTGAACACGTTTGACTCCTTAATCCTGTACACCCAACTGTGGCCATGGATATCCATAGCAATAAATCATAACTATGGACCAGATTTTGAAATCGAACTTATTACCGAATTGAATAGGAACGAACCTTGACAGCGTGTTGTCATAACCGATCAAAATACCTTGCGATCGTGGCATGAACTCCTGGAAAATTTCAGTTGGTCGAACAGAATGACCGAAGAAGTTAATCATTAAGTTCAGCCATCTTCAAACATATTTGATTGCGCACGGCACGGCGTAACACATATCACGAGGAATTTTGGTAAGGTGAACACGAATTCGAATTCATAAAAACTTTGCAAACTTATTTATTTATTTGTGCTGATTCGACTCTGAATATGTACATAAACAGTAAACTCAATTCAAGCAAAAGCAACATTAGGGTCTGAAGGAAACAACAATTTGAAAGAGCGACATAGCAACAAAAATATTCAGAGTAATGCATCAAATATTTTGGTTGGTGAATCAACGAAGTCAGCTTGAGTCATTGCCACTGACTTCTTCTGAGAGTAGAGGAAGCATAAGGAACTCTAAGTAGGATCGGGAGACGTGCAGTTGAATCGGTTTTTGTGCAATCGATCCATCGCGCGCGGCAGTCGCGGACCAGTTGCCTCGTTATCGCAATTCTATTCTTCTTCATACAGCTCGACTCATGCTATATTGTCGTTGGCATGATTCTATTGTTACTTCCTTTGTTCCCATATTCCATACCCACTGCGTTGCTTCTGCTTCATTCTGCTCGATCCCTTCGTGCACGACGTCGCCCTCGCCGCACGCCGCAAAGCGACCTTTCGGTTCAACTGTGTAGAGAAGGATTATAAGATTAAGGCTGAAATATTTGACGCTAACCGATCCCGTTTGTGGAATGCGCCATCGCAATCGGCTCTTAGAATCATAGTGGCATTTTAGAAGCGATGTTTCTCCTTCAACGACCTGCGGTGGGTAGTCAACTTTCGCGCCAGTGCTGTTATCCTCCCAGACAAGTCCGGTACCATCTGGAGATGGAGGAATGAGACGCGGAGCCTGGGCGAATGTCCCTACTGGATGCAAGGCGAGACCTGGGCGACTGTCAAACAGGGATTCGATCCCCGATTATGCGCGTGTGTTTGTGCGAACGCCCTTTTCCGTACTTCTCTACAAATTGTCCGGCTGATGGCATTCGTTGTGGAGACAGACATGAACTGGACTGTCCCTGAGATAAAAAGACGAGGTTTCTAGTTTTGGGTCTACAAACCTCTCAACAAACTCTTCAAGAGAGCCTTCCTTGCTTCAGTCGATGCCTCATATCGGGACCGACCTTCTTTCCCTTAGTTACAGCAGCCTTGACAAGCTTCTCTCAGCTTTGATGGACAGTTTCGGTTTTTGAGCTCGTAGCTTTTGTGAGCCCTCGGAGGGATCATTCTTCTGCTTCATAGGTTGTTGATGGTCATAGTTTCAGTAACATGCTACATTTCTTCCAGAGAACCCACTTCGTGTACCTTCCGGCGTTTCTCGTTTCTCTTGTACACTGTAGAATGATCCCGGGTGTTCCTACATACATGTTTGCTGAATCTGTTTTGGAAAATCTTGATTAGGATGGGTCTGTGCTAGAGAACAAATATTTGTCCGTGCCTGGATAGCCCTACTAGTCTTTGGGATCATTTTGGGACCTGGATGGCCCTAGAACAACTTGAGATCTTTTGGGAGCACATAATGCTTCCCGTTAGTATTCGCTGGGGTGGTTCAGCTGAGGACCCTCCGCGAGAGAAGGAATCTACAGGCTACTACATCATGGGCTGCTTCCTGCTCAATAACTTTCTCTCCTTCTGTCTTCTACTCCTTGACGTCTCCCTTCCAGGCCCCTTCATTCATTGCTGATGTGGCCGTTCACACACCCTCCACGATCCTCCTCCTACGCATCTGTTCTGATTGCCTCTTCAAATCTCGAATAAAACTCATCCTCTTTTGATTAGGGATAGCCCACTTGGGGTATGAACTACTATGGTCTTGTTCAGGCCCTTCTTTCTTGTTTACTCTTACAATTAGAGCCATGATCCCGTCGCTGATCCTATTGACAACGCCATTTCGCAGCATATTTCTTTGAGGTCTTCTCCGCCACAGTAGAGCCAATCTAGGCGGGCCGAGTGGCGTCCTAGCCTTATCATAAATAACTTTTGAAACTTTAGAAATATATATTGTTTTTCTATAATTTTCAAACCTCAGTCGTACTGGTTGTAGCTGAGCTTTTCCCTCAGCCAACCTGTCAACCAGGGTCTGACGCTGGCGCCGTTGCCATTCTTAATAGTTTTGCAGGGCATTATTTTTGCCTTGGCCGAAACCGAACTCGTGGGCCTTCCTCAGTACAGAGCTGAGGAAGGTCAACGAATTCATGAGCTTACACTCTTGACCACTCGGCTATTCCTGCACTTTAACCCTCAAAGCTTTTCGAAGCTACCGAAACCCAATACGTAGTGCAACAGTCTCTGTAAGGATGTCTCATAACCTTTCATTACTACATTGTACTACTGTTAGATTTCCAGATAAGTCCGGAAGCATCCCCAAAGAAATGTCCCAAGTAGATGTTGAACCACTGCTACAGTTCAGGAATAAGTAATACTACTGTACGTTAACATTGAAATACTCATAATCAAGGAAGAATTGTGAAAAAAACAACTTCTGAAGTAACTCGCTACTTTTTTTACCAGGAGAACCGGCCTTCTCCTGCGAGGCTTACAATAATAACAGAAAAGAAAACTAAACGAACACAAGTAATTCAGTGTTAAGCAGCGGGGATGAGGACAAACCAGTGCGTATAATTACTTTAGTAATGAAAAGTGAGCAAAACCAATAAATGCACTGACGAAACTCAAAAAGTATCACAACCGATGAAAAGTGATATCGTACAACTTATGCAAAACTAAATTACAAAACATAAAAATACAGTTGCAAACAAATGCGATGAAATGCTCTAACATAGAATAAACTCAGAGTAAATAATCGAAAAGGTCAGTCTTTGACGAATTTGCGGTATCCAATGGGATCAGCCAACCCTCGTCTTGACATGTACATCGCCGCTCGTGTACACAGGTAAACTTACATTGTAACCTTTTGAGGAAACTTCGAGTTCTTCGCTGAGTCCATGAAGTCCAACGAATAACTTGTAGATCCATGCACCGAGGACGGCGCCAATCAGTGGACCCACTATCGGAATCCAAAAATAGAATCCATAGGCGCTGAAATCCAAAGTATAATACCGTCTTGAAGCTGAATCAACTGTTTTGTGAAAAGACGTAGAGCTCTCTCTATTCTCTAAACAATATTGGCATTGAAGTCCGAGGTGGGGTAGCGGCAAGTGGCGCACTATTACACACTCATGGTCATGATTTCAAATCCCGAGTCGACATCAGGTACGGCCGACCAGGCCTTCCACCCTTTCGGGGTAGGATGATTGGTACTAAACCGTCCTGCAGGATAAAGGCACTTGTTTGTACATCGGTTTACCACCGCGATTCAGTGTATGGCCATATACTCTCTCACTACGCCACTACGATTCTGGACTGGGCCAATTGCTTTGACGTTTCCCTCAGACGCCAGAAGCTCTTCATCCTTCATTGGCATTGAACGAAATGTTACCGAACACTCCTTATGACAACTCATCACTTTCACTACATCGGAGCCCGACTTTGCTAGGCTTGGAAAGGGCCTAAGAGAAATAAAAGAACTTTCCGAGGAAAACCAAGACTTAAAGGAATTTAATTTGTAGTTTGGTCCAGGATTGCACAAAAATAACCCTAGTTCAAGTTATGAATTGCGCTAAACGGTGCCCCTGAATTTTTTTAACAATAAAGATAATTTCTTTCACACTTCACACCGTAAACATGACCGTCTAATTGACCACAGATCCTGCTCCTTTTCTCTCTTGTATTTTACGGGAACTAAATGGTTTTGCACATTATATTCTGAGGGTAGTCAATCTGGCACAAAGAAAATATCCAAAGCTGTATACACTGCAGACTGGTGGTTAAAGCGGTTTCCAGTTTCAGTTTTTTAAATAACTCAACTGACGAAATCTGGCGATTCTAACTCCAATTTTGAAGAGCTAAGGTGCGGATTCATAGCAATGGGCCACTATTGAAGTTTTTGTTGTCATGTGGAATGAAGTTCGACTACTCATACAAAGGTGCCCGTGCAAAAAAGGTCATCTGCGTCCAATAGACTAGGTTCTGTTAAATTGTGATCTGATGGAGAATTCTACAACTTCCTTCACTGTGTTCACCGTGATTCTTCATGAGAGTAATATATAAAACTTTGATGATAAATAGATGGCCGGATCGCCCTCTAATGGACCGTTGCGAAGGTATCCAACTTTAGTTCCGAATCAGGTAATTTAACATGTATACCCACTCGTCTTTGGGCTGACTTCGCCGAATTGGTTGATTGCTGATCCCTTCGATGGACTCAGCTCAAGTCTATTCAGTAAACTAGGGACAAACTATTCAATACTACGAGCTTTGTTTTGAACTCGGAAAAAGTTTAGGTACAAGCGAAGTAACGGAGTAACCTTATTTTCGAAGCTGAACAGTATTTTTACAGCTTGGTTGTCGTTTGAAATTACCAATAGTAGCAACCAATAGCGTTTGAAATAGTAGCATACCAATGGGTGGTGCCTAGGGTCCTTCTGGAATGGCCTGCCAATACGATAGGTGATGGACCAATATGGAGCAATACGTAGTGAGGGGCCGACTAGCTCAGCAGTCAATCAGAGGCCGATCCGTCCGCCTATCTACAAGGTCCCACATAGTTCCATGTCGAAATACAATAATTAATACAAAGTAACTCCTATTCCAACGACGATTTCGTGAAATCTCGATTCCACAAGGCTTTCCACTTGCAAACGCACGTGACCTTTTCAAATGGGTATCTTAATCAGCTCAAAATACTCCTTGATTCTGAAATGAACACTTTCCTACCTCAACCTTCTCTAGTAAAAGTAAACGCTACAAGTGACCAAAATCCGGAGGAGAATTGTCATTTGTTCACCAATTACAAAGTCCACGAAAAAATCTGAGTAAGAAACTACTTTGACTTGATGCTAGGTTGTTTTCTGCATTTTCCTTGTGTCAGTTGGACTGAACCTCCGATTAGGTAGAGGTACTAACTATTAGGTTTCTTTAGGAAGTAAAATTTTGGGAAGAAGCAGCAACTCTTAGAACATGTGCTTATTTTAATTAGTTTTCAGCTAAAACTGCTGAAAATCTCCATGATGGGGATCAAATTAATCACGACTTCATGCTCCTCTTCAATACGGGTCGAATGGTCCTGTTAAACTTGTTATTCCGGTTGGCCAAAGATCTCCAGAACCTATCACTCTCAACTACTAACCTAAATCTTATTATTTTGATTTCATTTCTATTTTAGACCTGAATTTTGAACTCATAACGCCGTTTCTTCAGCTCTACAGGTTTCCAAGAATTCTATGCATTCTAAGTAGCCAATAAGTATTCACGAACAGAAACCTCGACTCTAAGAGAATCACGACGGACGAATCGTCTTTCTCTCAATCATTGTTCGTTCTATAAATTGAAGTGAACGCGTCTGATCTCTGTTCGCATAATGTTCGTTCTACAAATGCCGATCACAGTCAAGGCGACTGAACTGTGATCGCATAACTTCAATCACGCTCGGCGACTGACTTTTACTAGACATGCTCCCTTGCGATATACTCGTATCGCAGTAGAACCGACTGCGCTCCCTTGCGATATACTCGTATCGCAGTAGAACCGACTGCCTTCAAGACACAGTTTACGATGATTTTGAGGTATCTAGTGGAAGGTATGGTGAAGAATGTTGCGAAAATGGCGAAGAAAGGGCCAAAATCGGCGAATTTCGATCATGTGTCTGTAACCGTCTGGTGTCTCCTACATGAGTGTACTATTCCTCGGCTAATGACAGCTTCGTTGTGAATGGTCACCCTTAACAAGGCGGTCATAACATAGCCACTCCTGGGCGTGGACGTAGGCCGAGCCGATTTCGGAGCCCTCATAACGCCCTGTTGAGGACGTTTTTGTCGTCGATCGTCGGCCTGACGATGTCCCACGTGATATCCTTAGGGGTTTCAGGTTCATCCTAGGGGGAACCAAGAAACCCCTTTATCGTGGACTGTGCCTTTAAACGCATTTCTAGCGAATAACTGAGAGCATCTGTACTAACCTGAAAACCTGCCACCCGTAACCAGCACATAGAACGAATAGCCGTGGACCAAGATCTCGAGCTGGGTTGATGGCAAAGCCGCCATTAGCTCCAAACGTCATGGCAACCTATGAAATACACATAATAAAGAAAAAAGTGCAGAAGCGACAATGCACCTCCCTACCATGCTCATGATTGATCCGGCCAACGGTGGCACGAAACCAGAAGGGATCCTGTGCCGCTTGTCTGTGATCAGACAGATGAGACCAGCTAGAATTGCAGTACCGATGATCTGCAAGGCAACGGGTATGATCGCTTTTTTGAGAATTTTTGAAAAAAAAAATTGTTGTCAGAGTCTCAGCTCCGTTTATCGAGGAACTGAATACCTGATCAAGAAGACTGCCCCATGTGCTCATGTAGGAAGAAGGAAACGTCGTGAACAGACCAGCAGTGCCTTGTGGGCCAGTCACTTGACGAATGCCACCGTCGAGCTTCCACAGATCATCTAGAAAGTTGCTGTAGTCAACGACACCCTGAATATTATTCAGTGTGGCTCTGAGAATTTTTTGGCTTATTGGTGAACAACATGAAGGATATCAGTCCAATGGACCACTCTGGCTCGCGACAGGGCCGAATGGAGACGTTTCTGGTGCCCACTCGAAGGAATCGATAAACAATGGGACGAGTGGAATACAGGTGATTGGTAATTGAAAACCAGGAGTTTCAGTACCCATATTTAGTACTGCTTTCTCCAAGTAGAATAAAAAACTGTACCGTGATGTCCAAAGTAACTGACAGCTGTGCCGAGATAAGCGCCAATCAGTTGAGCTATGGAATATAAGAAGACTTTCCATCCTGGTATGTTACCGAGTATACATTGAGCAACGGATATAGCCGGATTCAGATGGGCACCTGAAATCTGAAAGAACTTGTTTCGAAGACAACGGCCTTGTGTGCATTTTAAATTCATCCATTTCTATGATAGTAACTCGAAACTCGAAATGCTTTGATTACCGTAACGTACCTAACTATCCATAAGCGAGGCCTCAATACTTTTAATTTATTTAGGTTACAATAAGGGCCCGATGCTCTGATATTCCACAACAAGCCTGCCCCTTTTGCCTTCTTATCTCATCTTGGTGAATGACTGCTGTAGGTTTTTCGACAGGTTATACGTTGGAGACGGCGCAATAGGCTCGTCTCTGAGCGGAATGCCGCGTCGCGCGCATACCCTACTTGGTTCTGTTGAGAACGGAAAACCAATCTGCATTACCAAGGGAGGCCTTGAAGTGTCGATTTCCAGGGTCAAGGAGTCAATTCCATTTATGTGATTGAAGTAGGGTTGCACGCGACATCTGTGGACCAAGGGATCGGCGGGGCTGTGGACGAATCAGCGGTAGGGTCACATACGGAAGGTAGAAGATTCTGCAATCATGACAGGACAATGTTAGAGAAGCCTAATAAAATCTACTCGGACCGTACCCTTGAGACGTAAAGTTTGGTTAATCAGAAAGCACTTTAGTACACAGTGCTTTGAAACAGAGCTACTGAATGGTACCGAAGGCTATATATCAGATCAGAACTGCTTAACGATATAGCATTTACCCACTTTTAAACTCATTTGGGATACTCTCGGAAAATGTATGTGCTCGTTTTAGCAATAGAGCGAAGTAACTCAAGATCTTCAATGATTCTTGACCCTCTAAATGGAAGCTCTAAGGTCTCACTTGGCAATGAAGATTGAGTTTGGCGAATTATTTGAGAGACCATCTAGCGCGAATGATGGGCTCCAGCTTATTTACATCAAAACTGGTTACGGTCGATGTACAAAAAATATTTTTCCTGTGATCGTGTGTTTCAAGTAATTTTAAGCTGCACACAAGGAAGGTCATGGTTAAGTCAGAACTCGTTCCATTCAACAGTAATGCGTCAATTCATTCAAAATTGAATCAGAGACAAATTTGAGTTCGTCCCAATCCAACATTTACTAGAAGGAATGAAGAATAGTTGTGCATTCTTTACTGCTGTTGCAACCTAACGGGCCATATATAAGGAAGGGAATAGACAATTGGGATTCATGACCTGATGAGGTCCCGCTTGGCTTACATGCAAGAATTCATTCAGAAAGTGGACAAAACCAACTTTTTTCCTTTTCCATTTCGGAAGTCGAAGGTTGCACAGGGTAGGAAGGGATGTCACTCGAAACTCGCGTCGGCGAGGCCTTTCAATCAGGCCCCAAGGGGGTCGAGGAGGACCGCTTCAGACAGCTTCACTTATAGCCCTATTTTAGATTTTGTACCCTTTTTGTACCCTTTTAGTAATATTTTCACCAAGTTTTGGACCTACCTGAAACACTTGCAGCAAGATATACTGCAAACATGAATCCAATGCCCCAAGCAATGTGAGCTGATGTCGAATTTCCACCAACGGCTGCTGCTGCTTGAACATTGGCAGCGGTACCGATCAGCTTAAAATTCACGTTGTTCTTGTGATTTTCCATTTGAACCAGTTACATAACTCACCAGTAAGAAAAAGGTGCCGATACATTCGGCGAGCAACTCTCGGAGGAGTTTGTTGTCTTCAATTCGGAGGGTGTTACCGATACGTTCTCGAAATTCATCCATGCCTGACCTGAATATGGCAACAAGTGCAGGTATGATTTCCGATGGTTAATTCACTTGATATTCCCGATAAACGAAGAATTTTCATCAGAAGCTCCTACAATGCTGTGCAGTAGAATGGCATACAACGAAAAAATGCTACTCTTATCCATTTTTAAGAAGCCTCAACATGGAGTTCGGCAGAGAAGGCTCGAGAAGGTACCTATTGAGATGAGCACAGCTCCACTTGACCTGAGTGAACTTTTTATGACTTTTACAAAAACTGAGGCTGTGTTAGGTTGGCAGATGTGTAGGGGAACAACAATGGCAAAGTTTTGGAGAAACCATGACAAGATCAATTACTTTATGTTAAACTATCGGCTACTTACCTTCGCTCTTGCGCTCAATGACAAGTTACTAACAAATTAGATAACGATGGCCTTGACGATCAAAGGCTTTCAATGGTGTAGACGATTCAGGTCTCAAACTACTTTCAATTATTTTCGCAATTGAATAAATAAAGGATCAAGAATTAATGCGTCCAACGTTCCCGTCTGAAAGATGCGCCGTGCATTCGACTTTCGACTTCCTTTCAAAATCGTCGTGACGTATTGAATGCGTACATACATATGTAGCCGATACAGTTACTTGCAGTGGGCCGCTGATGTACAAGTCAGTGCTCTTATCCTCCCAGACGAGTTTATTACCAATTAACTGACCCCAGAGGAATTTTTAAGATTTACTCCTCAGTAACCTGACCGAGCACTTCGGTAGCAGGAGCAGAAAATGACTGGTGCCAGCAATTGAACATCTCTGAGACAAGGAAACCCAGAGACATACTGTCGTTATGAAAATCTCTTACTGTTATTCCCAAAAAGTTCTACTATAAATGCTCCCTAGGACAAAACATTTAGAAGCTCCACTATGCTGGATGCAGGAGGCGAAGGCTCAAAATGAAGCCTTCCACTTCTGGGTTCTACTGGCGAGTATAAACGGATGTTTCTACTCGTATCGAAAATCGTCTTTTTTGGAATGAGCCGAGTTGAATGGTTACTTGATTATACTTTGTAGAATTTCGAGAATCAATCGCCGAGTATCAAACAAAACCTTTACAATTACCTGCTCCTACCAACAAAGACGCATGTTGATCGGGGTCAGGAACACCAAAAAGGAACGTATCAGCCAGATCGGTGAATAACAGAGCCATAAAAAAGGTGGTATATGGAAACAAGAACACGAGTAAACCTCGTCGGCGCTTGAGCGAAAACTGACTAGTTACAAATACACCGCTGAAAGGCGTGTTCTACCATGTCCCACTTTTCCATCAGTGAATGCGATTTGCTAGTCTGGGACCGAAATACTCCACAATGTGAGGAGAGATTCTATAAGTCAGAAATTCTAGAAAGGAATCAGGCATGAGGGTGTACAAGAACCGTAGTCGTTTTGATAGTATTTTACAAGAAGAGCTGAGGTTTTTTTTCTCTTGCGAACACAGAGAAATCAGAACACTTCAAAGGGACTACTGTAAACTAGCTTATATACAGTAGGGCTCAAAAGTCTTTAGTGAATTGGTTCATCAGCCGTACTTTTCAGTCGTAACTCCTCTCCTACTGGATCTAATTACGCGAAATTCCGATATGTGTAGCGCGGGTGTATTGTGAGTATTTACCACTATCAACCTGCAATCTGTTCATGTTCCAGATATACTGAAGAGCTTGAACTCAAAACCTACTGAAAATACAGATGATGGTCCTTTTAGAATCTCTTTCCTTTTTGTCATGCCTGAAGTGTACGAGCGGTAACGCCGAACACAGGAGATGAGAAAAACGCACATAAGGTGCGAATCAGTGCAGACGTCAACAACTATAGTTTTAGCAAAATCAGCTACCACAACAAACACCTTGCTCTAGCTGTGAATATTGCAGCTTCGCAGTCAAATAGTGTTGGGTAGGGTGAAATATGCTCTAGTTAAACATATCCAAGTTTTGCGCGATTTGGTCTACTAAGAAAAAAATTATGAACAAAATAGCGTCAAAGCATTTCACCGAAGACTTTTGAGCTCTACTGTATGTGTCGGAACGTGAGTTCTTCACAACAAAACGTCCGAGGCACAACAAGGCTCAGACTTCTCCCTAAAATTGGCAAAAGTGCCTGAACTCAAGTGCACCTTCGACCCTGAACCTCCTAAGCCTTTTCTAGTTCTTGATTTTCGTAATAATTTCGTCGAAGTCGGATAACAGCTGTCAAGTAGTCCAACTTGAAAAGTTTGAAGGATGAAACTGGGAAGGAAATTTTTAGTGCATTTGGTAAAGGCCATGTCCCTTCCATTCCGGCGCGGATGCTTCTTCATTCCTTCATGTAAGTTTTAGGAGTAGAACATCATTACAATCAAAAGATTAGGGAACAAAACGTTCACAGAACACAGGACGAAACTGAATGTGATTGAAGTTATCTCCTGAGACTACTAGTAATTAATACTTTCGGCCAACATCACGGTGTTCTAACTAGTCTAATACAACAATGAACGAGCAGGTGAGGTCAGGCAAAGCCCTGCTGCATAACTGCATAAGTTATGCTGATCTCTGAAAGGCATTGAAAAGCTGAAAAAGCTCTGGGACAGGCAGTGCCAAGAAAAACCCTTACCATTTTTGTTCATGGATTTTAATGTTTTTGCTTCCAAAGTATTGAAAATTGAGAATGAAACGAAGGAACTAATAATATCTGATGATGAGATCGTGATTGTCCTGACATCGGACGAGTTTTACCAATAAATCGCACAAAAGGGTGATCCTCGTTGTTCGATTTTGGGTAGACAGTAGGAGGCCTCCACAATGCGGATGGTGAGGCCAGGTTAAACGGGACCTCAGTCGTTACCTTATGCCTTCGTGTTCTTGATTACTAAATGCTTGGAGAGCTCCTGCACCGTATTTTCCAGTAGTTCAACAAAACAGGTATTCAAGGTAGCATGAGCGTAGGTGCATTTTGCATTCCCTTCAATTCTCAAAAAGATAGCTCTGAGTGTTCTGTTTGATATGCAGGACGTAACATATACAGTCATTTTTTCAAACTGGTTACCATAGTGCCTATTGAACATGCCCAGAAACGATTCAACGTCATGGTTTATTCAAAGTGAGATATCCTTGTTCGCTTACTAGTTCAGTCCACCTAACGATCTTAGTTGACCTGGAATTATAATCAACTACTCATTACGTTGCCCTCAGGCTACTTACACGGTTACTTGTTATCGTTCTTGGTCTTAAAGTATTCTGAGCAGGAAAGGTGCAGACCATAACTGCTATGACAAGCGTTCCGACTTTTCTTCCAAAGAGCAACAAGAGCTTTCTGACAGCTCGGAGGACTGATAAATCGACTCGGAATAGAAGTTAAACTATACTCACTGGGGCAGGAGTACTACAAAGTTATACATGTACTCACTATACCAATGAAGTACTTAGAACTAGGCTCCACTAGCGCAGATAGTCATAGCAACTGGTGTTATATCATATGGAACCAGATGAAATGCTGCCAATCTGGATAAGTCTTGTCGTGATTCTCGAAAATTGCTGCCGGTAACCCGGCATTCCACCGATAGAACTAAACTTGTACAGTCCAACGTTCAAGTGTTTCACATGATTAGTTTTCATCCGAACGCTTAGGCAACAAATATTTGGAAGAATACCTATCTAGCATGCTCATGATAGCTTACCTTGATTCATCGAACTACTTCATGGGAATTTTCTCAAAAAACAACTTCTGTGGACAATACACAAAGAAGAAGCTGATATGGTCAGTGCAGTTCGGTATGCATCAACCATTAGTGAGGTTACGGAGATATTGGGGTATGAGGCAAAATGATCGAAATTGTCGCTTCGCGACGAGAGGGACGCCCCGCGCGAAGGATTGTAGCACAGTGCAGCACCAGGTAAGAAACACAGGAACAAAAGAGTCAACAGTAGAATCATGCCTAAAATAATGATCGCATATCGATTGAGCTGTATGAAAGACGCTAGAGTTGTAATAATGGCGAAACGAATGGTCCGCGACTGCCGCGCGCGGTGAATCGATTACACAAAACCGGTTTTATGGCCCGTCTCCCGAGGTATAGAGATGGTTTGTAGAGTGAAAGGCGTACTAGTTGAGCAGAATCTTGGGTGATGATGTGGGGATTGATGCTTCCACTACCAGTCTCAACAGGAAACAGAGTAAAGTGATTTTTTTTTTGCTATTTGGATGACTAAGGAACAAGTGGTCTGTCGATGTTTCTACTTTCTCAAATAAGAACAATACAGTCATAATTCTGTAGCTTACAAAGTGAGAAGAACAGAAGAAAAGGAGAGACATTCACATGGCGTGATTTGTAAATTTGTACCAGTATAGAGTTACAAGCATATGAACTCGTTAAACTTGGCTAAAGACAACCTCAACAAGTGCATCATATTGCGATTAGTTGGTTGAGTATGCATGACCGATTCTACTTGTTCATTCATTTATGATAATATCATGTGAGCCTCATCTTTTTGCGGGACCCGTGTAATCTTCTTTGTTCTGTAAACCTTCAAACCCCGTACGTTTTAAGAGTTTCATACTAGTCGCATGTTGAGTGCACTGAAGGGAAGCCGGGAGGGCAGAGACATTCGAAATGGGTTATGCAAGCAAACAAAATCTTTGAAGGAAAAGGTCATGGTGGAAATCGTGTATGTAGTGGCCAAAGACGAACTAGCACGCACTTATGGTCACGGGTTCGAATCCCGGACCGATATCCGCCTAAACCAACCGGACCTTCCATTCCTCCCGGGACGTTAGTTTGTACCAGACTCGTCCTGGAGGATAAAAACATTGACTTGTACGTCTAGCCCACGCAAGTCATTGTATAGGCCGAATACGCAATCAATGCATCACTACGATTCTGAACGGAATCGAATGTGTGGGAGCATCCCTCCGACGGGATCGGCTGATGCCCAAATACCTTAAGACTCTATCCTTTACGAGATGCCTCATATTACAGCACTCGAAGATTGTCCGCC